GGGCAAGTCTTTGTTCCTAGGCCCCTCCAGGTGCAAGCAGGGGAAAAGGAGCAGTCCTCTCCTAAGCAATTCCGGTGCAGTATTCTTCCAGGTCTGAGCTTCAAGCTCCCATCTTCCCAGAATCCTTTTCACTGAGCACTTTGGAATATTGAAAGTCATTCAAGAATCCCCAGACCTATCTACACAAACCCTTAGATTGGGATTCATATAGTCCCAAGGAGTGGTATGTGTAGACGCTTCCTAAGCTAAATCCCCTGGGGGGATTCCTACTAACAGAGGGTTGGATATAGTTGGAGAGCTAAACAGTATAACTTGCATAAAGCTAGGGGGTTTTTATATTCATTACTTCATTGATTTTTTAATCCTCTTAAAAGCAGTTTCACTTTTTATAGGTAAAAGAAAAGTTTGATTTGTGATTTAATACTTAAAATTGTCTGATCTACATCATTCTAAGGTAGATCAGGGAGAACTCTCACTAATTTAGCACTGAGTTCAGCCAAGAGGAGGTTCCAGGACAACAATCTGTATTCTAAAGCCAAATAACTTTGCCTTCTTGCCTGAGTAACTCCATCACTTCACATACTACATTTAGGTCCTGCAACAAGTAAGCTCCCATCATCCTGTGACATTGGTAGGGCAAGTATCCCTCATCTGCTTTTTTTATATATGTGTAATTGAAGCTTACAAATCCCAAGTGAGTTGCCTTAGATCACATAACACATAAGTTAACAGAGTTGAGGCCTTACTTAAATTCAGTTGATTTAGGAACTACTTGTCATTTTGTTGAAAATAATTCCTCACATTCATTCCTCTACTTATTTTTTAAAAAAATACTTATTGGGCACATATTAGTTGCCAGGAACTGGTCTTGGTGCCATTTTAAACACTTATACAGTATTTTACAGTCACAGCCTTTTCAGCTACATTATCTCAGATACTATTTTCTGTCAATCACATCTTTTCCCCTTCACTAAGGAACATAATTATAAGTGAACCTGTTCATATGGGTGAAAGGGAAATTTCCTGTTGTAAGTATGGTTAAGCATCTATCTACCAAGAGCTGAGCATAACATAAAATCTATTCTGCTTGCAAATGAGGTCTCCTTTTTATCTTTCTCTCTCTCTGCCAGACCATATGGCCTTCATTGTTTTATTTGTTCATTATGTCTTGGAACACCTGTGAGCATAGTTAATAACATTTTGGCATTTTGTGTACTTTATTCCACGGAGAATGAGCATTCAGCCAACTCAGGAAAATTCATAAGCTAGAATTCAGTTCTTAATGACAAAAAAATTTGATTGTGTCGAACAAAATTTCTTTCTTGGAAACTTCCTAAATTCTTTTACTTCCTTGCAGGTAATGAAAACTGTATAGAGGTACTTTTGGAGCAAAAATGTTTCCGCAAATTTATTGGCAATCCCTTTACTCCACTGCACTGTGCAATGTAAGTAGGAAAGCTGGATGTTAATGGTGTTGCTTTAATTCTTTTAACAGCACATAGGGAAATTGCCTTTTAGGGAAGGAAAAAGCATTCCCATTACAGATAAAACCAATGTATTCCATTTTGCAACTAAAGACAAATAGGTCTGATAGCAAAGTGTGAGCCCTGACATTAATGATTTTCTGGGAGATTTTTGTCGAAGGCCATGGTTCCAAGGTGGCTACATGCCACCTTAGGGAAACTACATGAAGGGGTGGACTGAGGGGCATATTACACGCCATGTGAGAGTTCTTCAGATATATTTCACATCTGTCAGCCGAATTCTAAAAATAAGTTGGGGCTAGCAACAATATGCCTATGAATCCTTAGAAAGGCACTTTATATCTGGAAGACTTTTCATATATAGTAATTCTTTATTCTTCATACATTGTAAGGTTTTTTTTTCTTGGTAAATGTAATTTTTGCTCCAATCTCATAGTGTGAACCACTGTTCAGAGACTCCAATGACTTTAAGTCAGACTTCCATGGTCAGCCTGGTGGGCCATGGTCACCTGGGGCCTCTGTTCACCAGAGGATCATGTCACCGAGGCAACCATGGTCAGCCTTGGGGCCTAAGGCTTGGGAATGCTTTGTCTTTGCCTTGTCTCTGGGCTTCACGTGAAGTTGGGTCATTTGATTGCAAAGATATTGGAGGCATAAAGTGGATCAGTAAGGAAGGTATGAGGGATACAGAGTAGAAGTGATTTTAAATGTGAAGGAACCATGTCTTTTTCACTTTGGTATCCCCAAAACACCTAACGTAATGCTTGTACAGTGGTGCATTGAACTCCCTCCTGGATGCAGGGGTTCTGCAGAAATGAGTATGTGCCATTAGAACTGTTAAAGTGATAAAGAAGACAACTTAGGTGATACAAACAAACTTTATTTAACACTTTATGAAGCAGGCAGTGTCCACTCTCAAGAGTTCAGAGACCTGCAAAGCAGGGCGGAAGGCAGGGAGCTTTTGCAGGATAAAGAGGAGAGACTAAGGAAGGGAAGGAATAAGCATATCTGATTGGCTGGTGTTAACATCTTGCCTCTTTACGTTATCATAAGAACAGGGCAATCACCCTTGGAGCTGGGTGATCACAAATTGGTTACTAAATGGTCTGACTTTGGGGCAGGTGGAACGTTTACAGAAACATGAAACCTAAAAGGTAAGTTTTATTTTGGTGACATAATTTCCCAGGGTCAGAGTTGCCTGGCGTACCAAGGAAAAGTTAATGTAAGATCAATTTGACAATTCCCCTCCCCCCCTTTGATCAACCTTTGGTCCAGCAAGAGGTTTGATCAAAGATGGTGCTGCAAGTTATTCTCAGTTATCATTTTCTCTTTGGGTCTCAGTATGTATTTCACAGGAGATGGTGTCAAGTATTATCATTTCAGTTGGAGGGAAACTATTTGTTAGTTGGCTGATGGCTTAAACCCTTGAGAGAACACACAACAGACCAGGGAGATAATTATTAGTAGTAGTAGTAGTAGTGGAAAAGAATTCCTAAGGCTTACAGGGTGCTCCTGAGCCAGGGGCCCCATGAACCAAACCGGCTAGAATCAAATAAGTTAAGAAATCCTAAAGAGGAGATACTTCTTTAAGCTAGTTGGCCTGTTCATGTATTTCATGTGTCTCCACACCCCCAGAACTTCTTATCCAGCAAGCCTGTTCCTGAGACACTGAGGCATTAGAAATCAGCAAGAAGTTTGTAACAGGCAAAACTACAGGATCACCAGCTTGTAGCAAATCCAGCAGTCATTTGCAGGTTGGATTAGCCCCTTTTGCAATGGCCTGAGATGTGTGAACAGTGGCTCTATCTTTTTAGGCCAGGGTGAGACAAACAGTAGACAAACTACTTGTGAAGATCTTTGTGGTGTAAAATTAGAAGGATGGACAGTGAGGGAAAGGGAAATGGAAAGAAATGTTCTCGCTGCTGGGAGGAAGCAGTATACTTCTATATCAGTTACTTCTCTTTCTGGTCGGTTTCGTTTTGAGGTCTCCAGTGTTTACACAGATGTCATGTGGAACCTCCTTCAGTTGTGAAATATGCACCCAAGGTTTGGCACCTTAATAATTCAGCAGGGGTGTCAGTGGTCAAGAGTGCTTGGTAGGGTGCTCTCCAGGAATCTCACTTTTGTAAAAGCATCAGAGAAAAACAATAACTGTCTGAAAATGACAAAAGACTTAATGTCCCTGGTTAAAGATCTGCTGAGAGTTCATTATAGAAAATTTAGTTATTTCTGTGGCACACATTTTAAGATGACAAATGGAATTATGACTGACAACATTATACCAGGACATATCAGATTTTTAGGAATACAATTATCAGTATTATACAGTTTCTGGAAAACTTATATTAATAACCTGTACCCAAAGATTATCCTAGATCATGTGAACTTGAAAAACATTTGGGTTAGTTTCTACATTTCTGAGGGTATACTTGATTTATAAAAGAGATTCATTTTCTTTAAGCCAATTAAATGGAGCTCCTTACAAAATAATTTAGGCAGAAAAACCCCTGCATATTTATAACATACATATATAGACATACTTAAATATATAGACAGACACAAACAGAGATCTTATAGCTTTCATTTCAAAATTTTGGCCATGAGACAAATATGATGATGCAAACCCCGCTAGTTTATAAATGAACAGTTGGATCCAAATTGTGTTTCTGGTAGATGGAATAAGTCAAGGTTACCTACTCAGATGATTATACTTTTTACTGATATTGATGGAGAACACTTTTAAGATTTTTTATTCTTCTGTTTCCAAGTAGCCTTTCCTTTTTTTTAATTCCTTCTAATAAAAATTACCTCCCTGAAGTTTGCATTTCAAAGAGATAGCACTTTGTTCCTAGAGAAAACACAGTAGAACATTTGTATCTCAAAGGCATGGGAAAAGAATGCAGTTCCTCCAGGAAGGACTTTTGATTCCTGAATTCAGAATTTTTACATGTATAGCCTTTTGAGATAAATAGGGGAGGTTTGGGGATAGGTAAAAAGGATCAATGGGCTTTTCTGTTCTTATAAAGACTTGATTTATAAGGCAAGGACAGTTTTTTTTTTTTAATTCCTGAAAGAATTGGGTTGCAACCTGAATGATATCAAGGGGCTGTCATCCATCATTAACTTTAATTTGCTTCTTTATATTAGGAAGAAGATCTTTAACTAAGATAGAAATTAAAAAATTTCTATGTTCTAAATTTTGAGCTGTTTGTCTTTGGAATCCCATCCCTCCACTTTCCCACCCCCCACCATGAGTACATAGCTTCAATTTAGCTTAGGGGAGAAGTCCTAGAAAATGTTCCTATCAGGCTCTGAATATTAGCTGCCAATTTGGCCAACTTCTGACCATTGAGCTACTTATAACAAAAAAAATCCCTTCAAATATCTTGTCAAGTTTTCAGCTGAGACAAATAGTAAATATTCCTGGCTATATTGAACAACCCCATGGATGCCAAAGCTTTCCCCAAAGAGAGTGGGAAAAAATGCTACCCTTCCAAGATCCAGAGCCACTCCCATAGATAAAAGAAGGAAGGACTATGCCAAACAAAAAGGCTGGAGCGAATGCATAGCATGGTGACTATAGTTAACAAGACTGTATTGTCATTTGTAAGTTACTAAGAGTAAATTTTAAAAGTCCTCAACACAGGAAAAAAAAAGTATAACTACATGTGGTGATGGATGTTAACTACACTTAATGTGGTGGTTATTTTGGAATATGTACAAATATCAAATTGTGTTGTACACCTGAAACTAATATAATTATGTTTCAATAAAAAAACACACAACCTGTTAAATTAAAAAATATATTAAGGCAGCAATAGCTGTTCCTGGGAGAGAAAGGGATAGATAAACAATGAGTACCTCAAAACTAAATTCACAAGAATTTGAATTCGGAAAGGAAGGGACAACCTGAAATTTCACCTTCCTCTCATGATCGGGCATGACTAAGATTGGGAAGAGCTGCTGATTCTGGTAAGAATTCTCACCTTTTGCCAGCTCCTGCCAGTTTTCCCAGGTCCCCTTCTGTAGGCTCCAAGTGAGTAAGCTTTAAAGTAGACTGCAGCCCCCGTAGCTACCAGAATTTGGCAGGGTTTTTCCAGTGATTGTAATTTCAATTTCCCCGTGGCTGTTTAGGGAATCCCTCAAAGTCTCATCAGCCCTGGGAGATGTCCATGTAGGGTTCCTCCTTTTAAGGTAGATATGGGGGTGTTGGAGTTGGTTTGAAAGATTTGCACAAAACCTTCAAGGACAGTCTTTGTTCCAGTGTCCTGGTGGATTGCAAGTGAGACAGTAATTTCTGGGCCAATGATGACCCCCTAGGAAGGTGCAACAGGGGAGACCCACGTATTGATTTAGGTTTCTGGGCTTGGAGCTATGGCAGCTGTAAGGCCACGATCTTTGGGAAGACTTTTATGGTCTTGTAGTCTCTGTGGAGTGGAAAAGTGATTCGGATAAAGGATTAGTAGACTGTAAGTACTAAGGTAAAGGAGGAAAGAGGCAGAGTAGTAAGAGTCATGTCAGTCTTACAGTCTTTTGTTTTAGGCACCTCTTGTATGTTTAATTTTTTAATAGCCTTTTGCAGTGAATCTTTCAATGAAGCTATTTTGGAATCTTGAAGGCTTTTGGAGGTTTGTGCATACCAATAAAATAGGTATCCCAGTCCGTTTGTTAATTTGGGAACCCTGGATTTCATGCGTACTTCTTAAATGAATACTCTTATCTAACTGGAGCAGCCCTCATAATGACCATTGTAATTGTAGGTTCTCTTAGTAAGATTTTGCCATTTTTACAGGCACCTACAGCTTCTGGGACCAAAGATCTTAGACTTAAAATAAGGTGTGCTGGAAGGTAGAAATCTCAATTCATTGAAACTTGAGAACATCATTACTAAGCTACTCCTAGAGTCTCTGAGAGCCAAATATATACCTGAGGGGAATGTGCCACTGGGCTGGAGATTTTATGGTGTTCTATAGTGTGCCTCATTACATGGACATTTTTTTGAGATTGGCAGGTGACCTAGCGTGAATCTAACCTGTTTCATGACCAACTTGTCCCAGCACAGGAGTCTTAGTCTAACAGCTTTTAAGTGCTCGACCCTTGCCCACCAATTTTTCGGCTTTGGCTTCCAATATTCCCATTAACAATAGATCTATTATTTCTCTCACAAGAAGAGTTTTTTATAGTGGCAGACACCCTAATGGCTTTTAATGATCCGGCTTGTGCCCACTTAGATTTTGATGTGCTGTTGGTCACAAATTGCATGTCTTAATTTATTCCTCAAAGTCCCTGTTAGTCTGTTAGCAGTAGCCACTGGCCATGGAGTCCCAGAATAACTGTCCTGGAACCTTTCCAGGAACTTTAATAAACCCCTTTCCTTTAACAGTTTGTATAAAATTTGTTTGGATCTGAGAGCTTCGCACAAGGGAGTGGAGCTCAAATGCAAGAGTGACTTACCCATGACCCTTGGTGAACTCAGAGTTCAGAGGGTGCCTTCCCTGTGCTTCTTGTCCCACAGACCTTCAGAAGTCAGCCTCAGATCCTACCCTCATCACCAAAACTGTTAAAATGACCAAAGACAATTTAGGTGATATAAACCAATTTTAATACTTCTTAAAGCAGACTGTTCTCCAAAATCTTGAGAGTAGAGACTGCCTGCTTCAGGAACTGTTAAATAAAATGTGTTTGTATCACCTAAATTATCTCCTTTAAACATTTTAACAGACATAGACTACAGATTAAAAAATATATATCAGATTATTAAATATACAGTGCATAGGAAGATGGAATAGGAGGGGATATGTAATTTTTTAAGTAGTGAGATTTTTACATGTTAAACCCATTTTTGTTTTAGAATAAATGATCATGAGAGTTGTGCATCATTGCTACTTGGGGCCATAGATTCCAGTATTGTCAACTGTAGAGACGACAAAGGCAGGTAAGTGATCCTAAGATGGCATGCCTCTTTTCTTGATGAATCTTAGTCTCTGCTTTGTGGTTGCAGAGTAGCCATACATCTTTTTATTTCTTTTTAATTGAAAAAGTAATATATAAACATGGTTTTTAAAAATTAAATATTATAAAGGGCATATCATTAAAAGAAATTTTCCTCTTAGCCCAGAAGCCCCAGCCTCTTCTACTAAGGAAGCTACTTTAAATTGTTCTTTCCAAATTTTTAATATTCTCTCAAATATCTTCTGTACATAAGTGCAAACATATGTAAAAACATATATGCTTATATGCTTTATATGCAAATAGAGCATTCTATAGAAATGCTCTGCTTTTAGTATATCCTGGAGATCTTCCCAGATTAAAACCTTGAGATTTACCATATTCTTTTTAAAGCTGTAAATTACTCATTTGAATGGATATATTATGATTTAATCAGCTTGCCCTCTATGGAAGAATATTTAGGGTGTTTCCAGTATTTTACTGTTTCAAAGAGTGATGCAGTTCATATGGCCCAAGTGTATCTAGGAGATAACATCCTGGAAGTGGAATTACTTGGTTAAAAGGCCAATCGTTTTAAATTTTGACAAATAATGTCACGTTGTCCTCCCCAAAAAATCAGTCATCCACTTTAGATGGTGTGGGCTTTAAAAAAAACAACAAAAACCCAATTATCTACAAATTTGAGGTGTAATTTTGAAAGTATCCGTATCAAAGTGGGGAGAAAAGTCACTGGGGCTGAAGATTGGAGTGATCAGTAAAGATACCTTTCTCATGATCAGGGCCACCACCTATCCCCCACTTAGGTGACACTCCGTGTCCACCCTGAATGTTCTTCAGAGGGGTCCTGATCGCCACCTCTGTCAACTCAGAAGGTTTCAGTCCCTCATATGAAACCCTGCGTGTTTCTCCGGCACTGACAGAGCCGAGAGTGGGCTAACGTCGTACTTGTCTCACACGCAGGACGCCGCTCCACGCGGCCGCCTTTGCTGACCACGTGGAGTGCCTGCAGCTGCTCCTGCGACACGGCGCCCAAGTGAACGCGGCCGACGACTCGGGGAGGACGGCGCTGATGACAGCGGCCCAGGGCGGGCGGGCCGGCGCCGCAGGTACGTGCTCAGGTCGATCCTGCCCGGGCCAGAGTCACGCAGAGTCAAGAAACCAGTTAGCCCGGGCCTGTGCCTGTCAGAGGACCCGCATCTCATTTAAAAAGCCGCCTGCCTCCACTCGATAACTGTAGCCCGTCCCTGGACTGTCGCTGGGCCTTCCAGAGTGAGCCAGCCTTTCTGCAGCGAAATCTCCTGACGTTTAGAAACAAATATAACAACAGAATCATTTTATCTTTAACTGTAAAGACAATTAAAATGAATGCCTACTGACCTTAGATTTGGGTAGAACAGATGTGGCAATAATTTGTTCCTTTTTTGGTTAAAAACATTAAATATGATTATTTGAGCTGTACTAATTTAAATACGTTATTGTTCCTGTAGTAACCTGCAAAATGCATATAATTAGCATATAGCCTAAGAAGCTGTCTTTTGTTTCTTTCTATAGATATTCTGGTGAACAGTGCCCAGGCTGACCTGTCTGTGAGGGATCAAGACTCGAACACACCCTTACACTTGGCTTGTAGTAAAGTATGTAGATGAATTTGAAACACTCTTCTTTAGTGTTATAACGACAGTAATAATAATATCACTTAAATTCTATCTCAAAAGTACGTAGCACGGCTCTTAATTAAGATGAACATTTCCCCAGGATGTTGTCAGCTCCAAGGGAATCGAAGGAGAACAGCAAAGGGTGACAAGGACGTGCTTTCCATGGCATTTGCATTCTCGCTGCCGTCTGTCTCGATGTTGCCACGGCATCTGTCTCCGTGGTTGTGATACCACATTTTGGTTTTAAACACGTTAGGACCTTAGATATATGGCTTCTATAATATGAGCAGTTCCAACTTGTTTTTGTTTTGCTTCATTTGAAGGCATTGTGATAACACAGCCAAAAAATACTCTCCTATGAGGCAAATAAAGGTGTTTGTGTACATTTCTAACCTCCCTTTTTTTCTGGTGCATAGTTCAATGGAAAGAATGCAGTTGGTTGTTTTAAAAAGTAGCATTGCGTTCACATGTAGTTCAGGATCCCTGCTTCAGTAAAAGATAAATGGTACATATGAATATATGATTTTACGAAAGTGGGATCATACTGTTTGTAACCTGCTTTTGTTAACGAATCATATGTTATGAATATCTTTCTTTTAGGCATTTTATGTTTTAGAAGATGTTGGTGTTCTGCCTTAGGAATGTGCCATCCTTTATTCAACGCATCTCCTACTGTTAGACATTTGCTTGTTTTCAAATATAAGCTACTACAGATAATACTAATTGTGGAGAAAATTTTTTAGGGAGCCTTGTTCCTTTAAAATAAATTCCTAAATGTGAAATTATTGAGCCTGACGCTATGAACATTTTAAAGACCAAATTCCCCTGTAATGAAGTCACAGCTGTTAACACTCCACCAGTAGTATATCAGAGTGAAACCTCCATGGACGTTTCTAAAATTATATTTAAGGATCTCCCTTCTAAGGCATTATAGTATGATGCCAGGTGACACCAGTCATGGTGGTTTATTTTAAAATAGTTATAGCATTAAAGGTGTTACCTGTACCCAGTGGCACCAGCCCTCTCAGCTGTTCTTTTCATTAGTTGGATTTCCTCACTTCCTGTTCTGAGAAGCCCATGGAAACCACAAAAAGTGCTCAGTTTCATAAAGTTTGTTTCAAGGTGTAGTTTTCATAAGAGTAAGTGTGGTGCTTTTCAAACGTTATTGTGCCATTAAATCACCTGAGGATATTGTTAAAATTCAGCTTCTGATTTAGTAGGTCTGGAGTGGGGCCCGAGATTCAGCATCTCTAAGTCCCAGGTGATGCTGATGCTCCAGTCTCAGGGACTCAGGAAGCCATGACTCTTAACAGAGGGTAGGCCTGGAACCGTGAAAGCGTCTCTGATCAATTAAAAGTATGAACTGCCTGTTGTCATAAGATGCAGAGATAATTTCCCCTGGTCGAGGAAGAAATGAATAAGCTTTCTTGAAAAAGAATCCTTTCGCAATAGAAGGCAGTAAGTGATGAGTGATACAGATAATAGATGTAATGTGAATTCCAAGGATACCAGCACTGAAGTGGCTGGTAATTGAAGACTTGAGCAAGGAGATGGGACTTGACTTGTTTTAAAAAGTGATGCTGAAGGATACTTTTATTCCTACTCCCTGTTTACCAGCTGACCTAGTCTCAGTTTCAACTCTCTGGACATTAATTCTAAAAGTTACCCTAGAAATATTAATATTTCAGGTCATATTTATATTAACCAAGTTCTAGTGGAATTCATTCAGAATCTTGGAGAATCTAGGGCCCTTTGACTATTTTCTTTTTAGAACAAAAGAATTACTCAGACGGTGGCCTTATAAAATGTATATAGGCAGATGGCATTCATTTTCAATTTAAAGCATAATTAAGTGATTGTTCAGGAACTTTTCAATGTCTCCATCTTGTGCTTTTTATCTTTTTTTTTCTTTATTAGGGTCATGAAAAATGTGCCTTGTTAATACTTGACAAGATACAAGACGAGAGCCTTATTAATGCAAAAAATAATGCACTGCAGACGTAAGTGTGACAACTAAAGTTTGACTCAGACCCAAATTCAGTCATTGATTCAGCAAATATTAAGAGCTTGCTTTGTGCCAGGCTAGAGCTGGGAAACACAGTGGTGAAAAACAGACCTGGCTTCTCCTTCATGAAGTTTAGTCACAAACCAACAAATGCAGACCAAACGGGACATTTTTAGTTAGAATCTTTATTTTCATATGCCTTCATAGAAATTTGTGAGTTCTGTGTTTTTCTTTGCTGATATTTCTATGGTAATATTATACATTTAGTGGGTGGTTAGAAAATCTTATGGGCTGAGATATTTGGGCAGTATTTATATAAATGTATTAGCATTATGTATTCTTATTGGAAGATGACAGTTTTATAAATTAGGCTCCAGAATATATGTGAAGAATTTCTAAGCTATTTGTCTTAATTATATTTTAATGTAATTCAGTGTCATCCTCAGTGTGAAAGATCTAAAAGCTGCTTCAGCCCTGGCCGGCTGGTTCAGTTCGTTGGAGCATCATCCTATACACCAAAAGGCTATGGATTTGATTCCTGGTCAGGGCACATACCTAGGTTGTGGGTTTGATCCCCGGTCAGGGAGTGTACAGAAGGCAACAGGTCTTTCTCACGTTGATGTTTCTTTTTCTCTCCCCTCCTTCCTCTCTTTCTAAAATCAATTTAAAAAAACAACAACATATACTTGGGTGAGGATTAACTAACTAATTAAATAAAGAAATGCTTCTGTATTCTCTATTTTAGGAAATTACATATTTGTTTTAAGGGCAAAAGGATATGTGATTTTTTTTTTTCATTAAAATTCTTAAGGAATATATAGCAGACTACAGTGGGTTTGACATTGTTCTTTAAGGTGTTCTAAATTCAATAAAGTATCATTTTTGTAATAAGAAGGTTTGAGATTATCTATATGGGTTATATTCAACAGTCATATTGATAAACTGTCTGAAACAGTGATTCAAATGCCCGAGTAGAAATCAAGGGTTAAGGAACCTTCTAGAAAACACACCAGAGTTCTTCATCCAGCTTTCTATTTACTGTCACTGGGATTGTTTGAGATGCAGAGTATTTGTAATATCTGCAGAGAAATCTGGGCCAACGTGGAAGAACTGTTGGATCATTGGCACCTGGAAAAGATCTGGTCAACAAATCTCTCTTTTTTTTAAGTAAAAACATTCATATACTATTTATAGATTCTTAAGTACTTTCTTCCTTTTAACAACGAGGGCTACCCAAATGACACGTTCTTGAACAAATATGTATCACAGCTGGCGCTTGTTCTTTTTGCAGACCCCTCCACATTGCTGCACGCAATGGCCTGAAGGTCGTAGTGGAAGAGCTGCTGGCCAAAGGGGCCTGTGTCCTCGCGGTGGATGAAAACGGTAAGTGGAAGAAGTAAACAATTATGCAGGTACCTTCCCTATGCTGTGAAGCCAGAGGAAATGAGAAATATAGGAGCTAGTTAAAAAGGCAATAAGAATTCTCTCCCCCCTAGGAAGCTCCATGTGTGTGAGAAATCGAACAAGGATAATTTGTCCTGTCTGTCTTTGTAAAGCACAGTCTACTTGTAGCCCACCACTGCCTTCCATTTTGCATGTAATGTCAGCAGCTGGTCTCTAACTCCTCAGCGTGGTGGTGAAAATATTTCAGACACACTGAAAAGCTTTCAAGTTGGCATTCACAGTTCTGACTGCATACGCTGAAGAGTTAGGAACTACACATCATTAGTGCATGCTCAAGGGCTCACATAAAAACCAGGTCTCTGTATTTCAGTTCATTCTGAGATCAAACCTTTTTTTTCTTTTGGAGAACAGATAAGAACGCATATTCCCAGTATGGATATTTGGGGAACGTGAATAAAAATTTTAAATTAATGCCTAGGCTTGAAACTTCTCTTGATATAATGTTCCTTTTTTAAATGAACTAACTCTTAACAGAAGCTTTCTATTCTACTTCCTAAGAAATTCTGAATACTAGAATTGTATGAAACTGCCATTTTGAGCACAATGCCTATGAACCTTCAGGAGCAAAAGAGGGACTTCTGGATATTTATGAATTAAGTAAATTTTTTAATGTGGCATTAATTGTGGCATTTAATTAAAGTATTATAATAAAATGTATTAACATGACTCAATTAACTGCTTATTACAGGTATTGGAATTAGCAGCTCATGCCTATTTCTCAGAAGTAAGCAGCCATATGACATCATTAGCTGACTCCTGTTAGTTTTGGTTTTGCAGCCCCATTTACCCTAGCATGTTCCCTCCTCTGTCCCCAACCTGACTCATCTAGGAGGCATAGAAACTTCTCTATTACTCCATCTCTTTGGTTTTCCTGCCTCACCTTCCCTCACCCTCTGATCACCATTGTATACTTTCGGGTTGGCGTGCAGAGGCCCACAATGACCAAAGAGACCAGAATATATTAGTTTTGCGACTCTGGTGTAAGTCTGATACAACTGAGGCTCGTCCGGCCAATAATGACCTTGGGCCAGTGGAACTGTGGCTTGTCTTAGAGCTTAGCTGCATCCCGAAGACCTGGAAACATTTGGGGCAATTTAGTACAGCACTACAATCATATTTCCTTTACTAATCACAGACCTTTGTGGAATAGGGTGTTAAGATATCTGTCCATTCTTGTTTGTTTTTATACCAGAAAAGAAATACTGGGGCAGAGGATGGGGAAAGCAGAAATGAGGTCAAGTGCTGATAAACAAACAAAAATAAGTTAAGTTTTATTGAGCCAGTTTCTGTGAATAAATGAGTGAGTAATAGTAGGAACTTTGGCCAGCAAGGAGAACAGGGTAACCCGTTCAGGCCAGTAGAGTCAAGGTGGAATAAGGTAGTAATAATTGCATCAAAGAATACGTCTACTTCCCCACACACCTGTTTCATGCTTTGAGATAATTTTCCCTTCTGGATGGCACCCATCAAGTCTAAATAGTGGAGAATGGCACAACTCTATGTCAACCACATCTGCTACATTTAGGTTGGCAGTGTTGCTATTTTTAAAAAATTCTGTTAAGTTTCTTTTAAATGATAGTACACTTTTAATTACAAACAACCAGTGCCTTCCTGTGTGTGATCTACTCAAATGATTCCCTTTTCCTAGAACCAGTTAATCGCTGTATACTTTTTAGAAAGTATATATACATAAAGTGACAAAGCTGCGTGACTCACGTTTACAGCATCTGATGTTTAGTCTTTTCTAATGTGACACACGACTGCCTACAACGGAAAGTCATTGTTCTCAGAATGAGAGTGCTCTGGCCCCAGCCTGCGCGCATGGTGTGAGTGTGTGTGCCCTCCGTGGAAACCCTCCTGGTTGTCCTGTGGCCGTTTCTGTGGCATTGTGTCCCACCCCACCCCCTCGTGTTTCTGTTCACTAGAGGAAGGCTGGAATTCTGCCTAACTTTGGATAATAGGGTGCTTGTTGTCATGTAAGCTGAAGAAAGTCCCCCGAACCCTCCATAAAAAGTCCCCTGGAGCCTCACCCCTGGCATGACCCGAGAAGTAACCCGTTTGCCTGGCATGATCTCTAACGCAACATGCATCTCGGCGCGAGGCCGTGGGAGATGCACTGTGGACGCTCGCACCCCCTGGGTTCCGGGACTAACCACTGCCTTGTCTGCATTTACGCCCAGGTCATACCCCGGCCCTGGCTTGCGCTCCTAACAAAGACGTGGCTGACTGCCTGGCCCTCATTTTGGCTACCATGATGCCTTTTTCTCCTTCCAGTACAATGACGGCTGTCAACTTGGTTTGTTTTAAAAAAGACAATTTGAACAGGACGACCCTCTCCAACCTGGGTAGCATGGTTAGCCTGTGCAGTAACAACGTAGGCTCGGAGGATGGGTACAATGAGAATGATTCCGATTCCGAAACGTTTTGACTTCAGACTGGACGAGTTTGTCCTTGATCAACCATGTTGGAGAAAGGGAAAGAAGCTTGAATTCCAGGTTTATGTTGTGTTTAAGTATTACCGTGGGCCCGAGCCGCCAGAAGCCGGTAGGGAAGGAATGAATCACACGGAGAGGGCAGCGAGGCTGTAGGACAAAGCATTCACACAGTGGGGCCCCAGTTTTGATTTGTTTCATGTTTTCCTTAGATCTAAGATACTCATGGGAAAGTCTACCTCTCATTTTAAGTAAGGAATTTAAAAAAATGCATTTAATTCTTTTTCTTTGGGGATAATGCACCGAGAGGGAACTGTTGTTCCCTAAAAAGTGGCTTTTTTTTTCATGTCAGAAATATATCAATGTGACATTCCCCAGGGAGGGGAAGAAAGGGGTAGATAGAAAATGCCTCTAACCTCTTCTCACTTTGATGTTTACTTCCTTACTAGAAGCCAAAGGTAAAAGAATTTATCGTCAGAAAGAATGCCTGTAATAATCTTTTTAAGGGAGTCCAGTTATTCATGTCCTCTCTATAGTAAGCACTTAAATATCCAGAACTTCTTTCTGAGGATATTTGTTAAGGTTGCCAGATGAAGGGGAAAAATTCATTGAAAACCGAACTTACTTTTTTTCATTTAAACACAAATATGGCACCCACTGCTCCCCATCACAAGTCTGTGACTTATTTTCACCCAAGTGATTGAATCCAAATCTGTCCAATAACCTTTCAAGTGAAAACTATATTGCACCAAAACTTTGAGACATACGAAAGTTTAATATGAAACTTCCCCTTTATTGGTTCGTCCTTAAATCAATAGTAACTTTTAAAAAACATCAAGACCATCAGCAGTGTTCATCAGCAGTAAAATGTTCGATGAGCTTCTCAGTCAAGGTCCTGCCAAGTGAGCGAAAGTGTGGTTGCAAAAGGGAACAAAGAAAGTAAATGCAGGTGGTAGAAATGGGTGATGTGGAAATTAAAGCCAATTGGTAGCTGCTTGATGATGACATCAACCTAGTGAATACTGTGTCTGCTCCCTCTGCCAAAGCTTCTAGGTCAAATGGACCCCGTTCCGCACCTGGAATAGCTGTACAAAAAGAAGAATGAGACTCTTTAAAAATTACTCACATACACGCGCGCACATAAGTGTATATATTTATGTCTGTATTTCATCAACCAGCTGAACACGAGGACCAAAATGCTTCAGTCTAAAATGGAAGACTTAAATGGTTTTTCTTCAAAATGAAAGTGAGAACTGAAGTAGCTTTTCTATGGAGTTAAAAATGTAACCTTTTTGTGTAATAGTCTTTGTTGTATTTTATATTTCTTATGACAGAGATGTCCGGTTGATGGCTTAACATTTGTAACTGATGATGTGTTGACCACGGCTTATTTTTTTGCCAGACTAGAAAAAATGTTCATATACTTTTGATGTAAATGTGTTTATATTTATTTGAAATGAAACAAACACCGAGGAAGCGTCCTTTGTTCTCCCTTTTCATCGCTGTGTGTCTTACTTGGAACAACACAAAAGCAGAAGAGCACACAGGGCCCTCCCTGGGCTGGCCAGCAGCCCTGGGCCAAGACCAGCATTTCCTCTGCTAAGGTTTCCAGCCGATCCTCAGGATCTCTCACGTTGATTGGAGAGGGGGACAGCATCCATCGCTCAGCCCAGTCTGTGGCCAACTTAGAGCTTAGGAGACATTGGAGTCCTTATGCTCCTCTGCCAGATGAAAACTGAAGCATGTAGTGGATCATATGCACAGAAGTGGCCAAAAGAAAGGTTCAGAAATTATCCTAAAAGCACTGAAATTTCACATGGTCCCAGTAACCTCATTGGAAACTGTATCAGTGTGTGGACACGTGTACCAGGAGAAGAAATAAAAATCACCAGCTCATGCTACTTTCCACTTGAAGAAGAGACAGGAAGGAAACGCTGCATTTAGGCAAGTACTCTCCGACCGTTTTATAATCGGTTTCATTTCACCCTGGAAATTTCAGCTTCATAGTGTATGTGAGATATTTTTTAAAACAGTGTTTTATCATATCTGGATCAAATACAGATACTGTATTATATTTCTCATCTAACTGTAAGAGACTTTAATCTCACTCTTTTACTCTGCTGGATTTAATTAAAAACTCATGTTGGGTTCTTCACAAATGAGAACTTGTTCCGAGGACTCATAGAATTGGTATTAATTTTACTGAAATTTTTCAATGCCACCAATATTGTATTCTAATGTCCCTCCTTCCTCTGTCCCTTTTGTTTAGAGAAGATGAACTTTTAAAGTAGATAAATTGCTAATGAGTAATAATGACCTTCTCAATACCAAAACACTGAAAATAAGAGAGATCCAACGCTGAGAAGCACGATCTACTGCGGTGTCTTTTTCTAGAAGTGAATGGAAATCTTGCTCCGTTGGCGTTTAAAGCAGGAAAAGAAACGTCTGCTTTAATGGCAAACAAGGGACTTGGTCACAAAGCAGCGCCAGCCCTGCGACATCATCTCCATGGAGCTGCGTTAGACTTCCCCCCTCTTTTCCTGATAGAAAGGACAGAGGGGCAAAATGAAATCATGCTTTCTCTGAACTGTTCCCTGAATCAGTCTCTCCTCTTTCTCCCTCCCCACAAGGCCAAATTTTTCCTTTAGGAAATGACATTAAAACCTCTGAGTTCTGTGTTTTTCAAGTACATCTTATAGAAATAAAATTAGATTTGCAACACAGCTTTCTAAGAAAAAAAAAAAAAAAGCAAACCCAGAAAACATTGTGCTTTTCATTGAGTCTCAGTTGTTTCGTGCTTCTACTTAAATGTGTTATTTTTAGCCTGTATTTTAACCACAGCCACAGGGATCACGTTTCATTGCACTTAGCCTCTTCGCCGCTGTCTGCCTATCCTTGGTAAATACATTACTATCTCCAGATTGCCTAAAATCTGCTATGATTCTACAGTAAATAGCTCAGGGGATTTCTATGTATCACTACTAAAAGGGCACCATAGTATGTTTTGGTACTTTAGGCAGTAAACAGCTGCTTGACTTACTATTTTATTATTAAATTAGAACAGGAACATCAAATGGATTCGCTGCACTAGTTATTCTTTGTACTGTTGAGCAACTCGGTTTGCTTATTTGTTGCGTTGGTTGAAGAACTCATCCCTTTTTTTTGTCTTGTAATATGAAGTTAGAGTGCCTTTTTATATTTGTATATTCTGAAAATGTTCTGTGACATGTTTTGTATTTTTTTTCATTTGAGTGTTATCAGAGCAATATAATACCAGTGAGTTTTCATTTCAGCCTTTCTTTGAATGTATAAAGTGTCTTTTTTCCAATTTCCCCTTTTACCTGCTTTGAAATGGAAATGGAAATGCCGAAGTTTTCTCTAGGAGTTATGTTTGATTTTTGCAGTGCTAAAATGCTTTCTTCTTACAAAACTGTAAACCATAGGTCAGGTCAGTATTATAGGGGAAACACGTTTCAAGATAGTGACAATCTGAGTGTGTGTACAAATGTAATTCTATGCGTTTCTTATGCAGTGAACTAAAAGCTCAATGCAAATATCTTTTGTTTGGTAGTTCGTCTACATATTTTATGCTTTAGCATGTGCAATATATCTTTGCGAAGCACGATGATACAAATCTGGTGCCAGTGTTATATTTTGCATAACATATTTGTAACAGCATAAAATATTGTTTGATGATTTTGGTGGGATTTTGTCTGTAATGTTTTCTTATGTAAATTGGGCTTGAATGACTCTGGTAAATGTCATGACTGTAAAAATGAGGAAAATGACTTTGAGTTCAGTAAATGACTTTGAACCAATCTGAATCTTCTCAAGCACAGTTTAATACTTTTTCAACTACTGAATGCTAATAATGTAATGAAGTACTTAACTGTAATATACTATGGAAATGCATTCAGATGGTTATTTTTACAAATAAAAACGGTACAAATATTGTTGCACTTTCTGTTGTCTTTAATTTTTCCAGTCTATGCTATTTTTACCAATTATCCTGCTAATTGAAATCTTTATCCCCCCACCAAAGCCAAGTTAATCTTAAAATTTTTAAATAAATAATCAAGGTAGAAGTGTGTATCCAGATTTGCTACTTCTGTTTATATCATCACAATTAGAAAAAATTTCAAACATGTATGTTTGTGTTGATTATATTTATTTATGCCTCTGACTTTTGTCATAAAAGATTTGAGCTGGCTTGTAACAGAAGACGTGGTAAACTAGAAGTAGAAAAATCAAGACGGAGAAAAGTACAGACAAACATGGGAACTGTAAAGTTTAACACATGGACTCTGACTGAACTTGAGTTTGCTCTAAGCATCCTTGTGCTCAAGGTTAGAAGGGAAATGTAACTAATTGTCTTGATCACATATATCAGAAAGAAGGAGGCCTATGAGGTCATCAAAACTGTGAATTCAACCATACTATTTTTGTTGTTTTCACCACTGCCCTTCAACTGTTTCATAGCAACACAAGACCCGACCTCTCTTCACTATTCTTAAAGGTGTATGTAGAATTTTCTCTCCATCTCACCATCAAAATTTTCTCCCCCCGAGTAGTGATTTCAGGGACAGTCCCTAGAAGCACAAAGGAACAAATTCCTAATGATGGAGTTTCCAGCTGATGAGAAGAATATTTGGGGTTGGGGCCTTCCTGAGTTCCTTAAATCAGTGTCATAGCGGGTTAGCAGTTCTTACAGTCTAGTCCAATCCCATCACCATCTTTTTCATGAAAACACTGAACCCAGAGAAGTAATATAATTTGTACTTGTGTGTACACATATTCAGTGATCTGAATGTGCAAATTGTGCCTCTATAGATGTTCTCTCTTCTGTGCCATCCTACCAAAAACAATGTTCTGTGGTTGTTTTTTTATTATTATTATTTTTCCTAGAAATGCTCAGAGAGGTTGCACTCTGCCCTGTCCTTATTCAAATATGCAAATCTACGTGCTTTTCATTGTTGAAGATTATAAAGCATGAGTCATACCACAGGTGAGTACTTTCTGTAGTTTAGAGCAGACTAGAATATATTAGTTACTTAAAGCTGTGTAACAAATTACCCCAAAACTTAGTGACTTAAAACAACATATGTTTATTACCTCACAGTTTCTGTGAGTCAGGAGTCCAGGCATAGCTTAGTTGGGTCTTCCGCCGCAGGGTGGGTCCCCGCACAGGCTGTAATTACGGTGTTGACCAGGGAAAGATTCATTTAGAAGCTCACTCATATGGTTGTTGGACCAAGGGTTTCAGTTCTCATGGCTGTCGGCTGCCTTTGGTTCCTAGCCAAATAGGCCTTTCCATAGGGGAGCTCACAGCATGGCAGCCTGCTTCATGAGAGCGAGCAAGCTGAGAAAAGCCAGAGAGGGCAAGAGCAAGACAGAAGTCGTAGCTTTTTAACTGAATCTTAAAGTGACATTTTGTCATTTTTCCCATGTTCTATTCATTAGAAGGTAGTCACAATGTCCAACCCATATACAAGGAAAGATTACCAAAGGTGTGATACCAGGAGGTAAGAATCACGGGGCCATTTCAGAAGCTGTTTTCCACACAGTGTCTTTCCAAAGTATAACATCACTAGGGTAACTTCTTTCCAGTCATGGTTAAGGACATTAGTTACTTGACTTCCTAACTTTTTCAAGAAAAATGTAGGATTCCTTAATCTTGCTTGTGCTCTTACAAGCAAGCAGGAAGAGGGAAATGGCCTCTGCTGCAGTAATTATAACATGGAAACTTGATGTGGCACTTTGTCTCCAAACTGCTTGTCAAAGGAACCGTCTCTCTTAATTCCACTCAACAGGTATAAAATCCTGAACATCTATCCCTCACTTAACACAGTAATGTGTTCCAGAATTAAGATTGCAAGGCACAAAGGCATTAAGCTAAAAGGGTATTAACATAACATAAGAATAGTGAAGGTAAAAGTGCTGTATGAATTGTCTCCTCAGCAGATTTCATACTGAAGGTACACTTGCTGTAAAATATAAAATAGCAAAGATAATGGCTCTGCCATTCATTAATTTTCCAGCACTCCAGGGGATGATTGGAAATGTATGGATATTTGTGACTGGCACAACAAGGGGGCAGGAGGGGTTGCTACTAGCATTTACTAGGCCAGGGATACCAAAGGTCCTGTCCAGCCCGGGGTACAACTACGCCACCCTCAATACCAGTGCTCCCCCAACTCACTGCTCATCTACTTCCTCCCCTCTTTGTTTCCAAATCATTTCTTCATCAATATATTATTGGTGAAGCCAGTCATATTTTAAAATTATTTTCACAAAGAACTACATAAACAGGCTCTAATACACATCTCTTGTAAAGAGATCTTACAAACTTAAGATCAAGAGCTTCAGAAGCAATGTTGAGTACATGTTCCCTGGTTGTGTATTTTTCCAGGAGAGATTGCATATAGGTGAGTGGAAAAATGTGCTGCAGAGATTTGAGACAAATATTTAATTCTGTTATTAAACACACGAATACACACGTTTTAAACAAAGGATTATTGCATCTACCTTCAGTGAGGGAACCCTGCTCACAAAGCTGGGGCCCTTAGCCCACCATCACATAGCAAGATCTGCAAACACATTACTGTATCTCACAGTTCTCTAGGTAATCAATTTCTAGGATACCATTTTCTACCTTTAAGTGTCCACTTAATGAAGCATATTTAAATTCTAGGGGAGTTTTATAATTTTCAAAAGTAAAGACATTGAAGCAGCACTTAGAGCCCCCTGAATTGACCTGTGTTTATATTCAGTTGATAAAGCACCCAACAAGTCTGAGAACTTGAATAACTCATATATCTTATAGGTAGGTTTCCTAAGAATTACAAACAGTTAAGCTCAAAACTTAATGACGAGAAGTTGCCAGCAATATAAAGATCAGAGGAGAAAACATTCTAGGGAGAGGGAGCAGCCAGTGCCAATGCCCATAAGGCAAAAATGAGCTTGACATGTAACAGGAACAGAAATGGGGTCAGTGTGGCTGGAGACTTGTGGGGTAGTGTAGGGTGGTATGGGATGAGATCAAGAGCTACCTGAGGTCAGATCTTAGAATGTTTTTTTGAGCCAGGAGAAAAGCTTATATTTTATTCTGACTGTGATAAAAATCCACTGGAGAAATGTATGCAGAAAAATGGCTGTGGTCACTCTGGCTGCTGTAGGGAGGCAAGAAAGGAACCCTTGTGACCGATTAGGTGGCCACTGCAGTAGTCTAGGCAGGTAAACATAGTGGCTCAGATTGGTGTGGCGACAAAGGAAATGCTGAGAATGTGGTGCATTTTGGATATTCTTGAAGGTAGAGTTGACTGAATTTGCTGATAATGTCATGTCAAGTAAACAATCTAGAGTTTGAGGAAGATACTGGGGCTGTGGTCATATGAAATTATAGATGACCAGAGGAGATTGCCTTGGGAATAAATTGAGAGCACTAAACTGTGGACACTCCAACATTTAGAGGTCAGCAAGAGACTAAGGTATCTCCAAAACCCTAGGAAAGAAAGAATGTGATGGAAGAAATTTCAGTTGTATCTACTGTCTTAATTGCTCCTGGGAGGTCAAATAAAATATGACAGATAGAAACCATTGGATTTGGCAACCGAGTCTATTAGTGGTTTTTCTAAGGACAGATGCATCAGAGGGATTGGAACAACAATCCAAAGAGGATGGGTTGAGGAGAGAAAGAGGAGAAGGGGAAAGGAGGAAGAAAAATGAGGCAGTAGCTGGAGGACGAGGGGCACACCAGGCAGGGTATTGTCTTGAAGGTAGGAGATGCTGTAGCATATGGATCTGAGGGAGATGTCTGGGAGAGCGCAGGAAGAAGGTCTGAGAAGGGATGGGAAGGTAACTTTGGAAAGAACATTTTAGAGCAGCAGAGGAGGACTGTTGAGTAGGACTTAGTACATTTGAGATTTATAACCATAATTTTAAAATGATACCAGTCAGGGCCTGTTTGGCTCCAGGGCCTTGGAGGTAGGGGTGGGGCAGTCCCAGGCTGGCCGTGGGCATAGCATGCTCCCTAGGACTTGGGGACCCCCAGCCAGGCCTGCTGAGAGAAGACACGGCCGACCAGCGCTTGGGTCCAGGACATCTGTCCTGCTCCTCCATCCCTGGAGAACCGTGGGGCCGAGCAGCTGGGAGAAGCAGGCCAGAACCCCCAGGGCCTCTGGCTGGGGTCCCGTGGAGGCTGAGCTGGCTCGTCCCCCTGACCAAGAGCACCTCCTCATCTGCAGCTGGGCCCTCCCTGGCCTCACCAGCCTCCAACTGCAGAAGTAGCACCTGGTCAAGTCCCTCTGGAACTCACGCCAGTTTACAGTGCACTCAGATCTTAGAGGAATTATTCAGTCTATTGGATGAGTTTTGGAAGAATCCTCCAGTTTTAGCTCCTACTTCAACAGCATTTCCACACCTATCCAGTAACCCAGGTGGGATGCCTCCTTATGCTTCTCGGGGTTTCCCATTTCCTCCTCCGTATCCCCCACAAGATGCTAACAGGACTATCAGTTCTTTATCTCTTGCTGACACTGTTTCTTCATCAAGTTTTACAACAGCCAAACCCGCTGCTCCTTCATTTGGCGTCCTTTCAGATCTGCCGTTACCTGTTCCCACAACGGACACTTAAAGATAAGCCAAAATGGTTTTGGTGACAAGATGCCAGATGTCCCTGATGCATTTCCAGAACTCTCAGAACTAAGTGTGTCACAACTTAACACATGTGAATGAACAAGAGATAATACTAGAGCAGTTTCTTACTTTGTCTCAACTAAAACAAATTCTTACTGACAAGGGTAACTTATTAAAAAGTATTGAGGAGCTAGCAGAAAAAACCTGCTTTTGGAGCCCAGCTTGAAAGCCAAAAGGCAAACTGTTTTAGATAAGTATGAATTACTTACACAAATGAAACCTACTTTAGAAAAGAAGATGCAAAGACAGCATGAACTTAGTGGGA